ACGAGTTGGGGGGAAAAAGCGCTTCGGAACGGCAGCAGCGCGAAAGAACAGACCGGCTTCTGGAAATTGTTAATGATCTGTTGGTGCTGCTGCTGCTGTTGCTGCTTTTACCTCTTCTGCTGCTGCTTGTACCGTGTGCCGTCCGCGCAGACAATAATTAATATAGAAATTTGAATTCACGCCTGATCAAATTTCTATTTACCTCGCGTCACGATCGCACCATAAATTTCGTATTTCCGAGATAAACACCGTGCGTACTCGTACTTCGTTATTTATGTGATTGCTATACAAACAAAGCATTCCTAGAATTATCCTAATTAAAGATTCCCATTCGTCGCAGCCTCCATCAATTCCTGCAACTTTCTATAACCCTTATTTACACTACAAATTAGCTCACTTTTAGTTTCAAGCTTACATCGTTACAATTGTTCAAATAACAATACTAATCCAGCTTTCTAAATGTCTCTAAAGTAAACATCAATTTTGACGGAGGATTATAAGAAAACCAGATGAGTTACAGTTATACACTTATTAACGTTTTACTCCCTAAATATTTATCTTCAATTTAAACATTCAATCACTTTTCAGCCTTTCGTGGTTATCGAGAAAATCGATAAAATCTGAAGACACTTTTGTCGATGCTTCAAGTTTGATTACAAGCAAACCAGAAGAGTTACAATTATGCTGATTTACATATTTTATTCCCTCAATAATTGTCTTTAATTTAAACATTCAATTATTATTCCGACTTTCGTGGTTGTCGAGAAAATCTGAAGACACTGCTTTTTTCGACACTTAATTTTTCGTTTCTTCAAGTTTGATTACAAGCAAACCAGAAGAGTTACAATTATGCTGATTAACATGTTTTATTCCCTCAATAATTGTCTTAAATTTAAGCATTCAATTATTATTCAGTCTTTCGTGGTTATCGAGAAAATCGCTATAATCTGAAGACACAGCTTTTTTCGACACTTAATTTTTCGTTTCTTCAAGTTTGATTACAAGCAAACCAGAGGAGTTACAATTTTGACCATATACACATNNNATTCAATCATATTTAAGTCTTTTGTGGTTGTTGAGAAAATTGTTGGAAACTAATGAGACTGCTTTTTCAATGATTAACATATTTTATTCCCTTAATAATTGTCTTTAATTTAAGCATTCAATTATTATTCAGACTTTCGTAGTTGTCGAGAAAATCTGAAGACACTACTTTTTTCGACACTTAATTTTTCGTTTCTTCAAGTTTGATTACAAGCAAACCAGAGGAGTTATAATTTTGATCATATACACATTTTATTCCCTCAATAATTGTCTTTTAATTCAGTATTCAATCATATTTAAATCTTTTGTGGTGTTGAGAAAATTGTTGGAAACTAATGAGACTGCTTTTTCAATGATTAACATATTTTATTCCCTCAATAATTGTCTTTAATTTAAGCATTCAATTATTATTCAGTCTTTCGTGGTTGTCGAGAAAATCTGAAGACACTGTTTTTTTTTCGACACTTAATTTTTCGTTTCTTCAAGTTTGATTACAAGCAAACTAGAGGAGTTACAATTTTGATCATATCATATTTAAGTCTTTTGTGGTTGTTGAGAAAATTGTTGGAAACTAATGGGACTTAATTTTTAATTTTTCATGAATTTCAAGAAAACTATAAGTTCAAGGAAATCTATCCAATTAATCTACTATGCTTTTATCCATCGATCAAATTGTACAACAATACGATTGCAAAATGCAACACCCATAATTTCCATTCTGAACCCAATTAGCGGATGAGCGCGAGAGAGCACAGTCCCTTTCGATGATGCTCTCATAATCGTTATGTAAATGGTAAGGCCGCAGAAGAGCGTGTACTGTTTTCTCGGAACTCTTGCGGCTTTTCATTTCAAGCGCGCGCGAAATTACAAAATTCGCTTTCGAAATGCAGCAACAACAACCAACATCGATGATCTTGTTGGATAAAATCTACAATTTTTAAGCGTAAAAATTATGAATTTGATTCATTTAGATGATTTCTATTCGTCATTGTTTAATTTTAGATTTGTTGGGTTTCTTTCTTGATCGAGCATTGATTTTGAGTCAAAATGAATAAAACTGTGAATAATTTTGAATGAAGATTACAATGTTTTGTTTATTATTGTTATTGCATAATGTGAGATTGTTAAACGGTACAGATAATATAGTTGTACGTGTGGATGTAGTCTTAAGATAATTGGACCGCATGTGGCGTGCGTTCCTTCGGTGTGGTCTTCCTACGTTAAGTCCACTCAAGAAGTTAAGTGGCGATTAGTTTTTATCTGGAGGATAGGCAGAAAATGCGCTGATAAGAAACAGCGCGCGAAGCGAGGAAAATCGGGGAACGTTCGCTCTCCGTAATGACCGAATTCAATTAAGATACGATCGCGAATTATGAAATCATAAACTTAATTAGCGCCTATATAATATTAATTAACGCGAGGCGCTCGAGTTCCTACTAGTCGAAGAAAGAAAGAAAACAAGATTTTAGACTTAATTAAAGTCGCGATCAACGGCGTCTTTAACTGGCTGCCACCTCGTTTCCAACTAAATCCAAATCAATGTCAACGAGGAGATAAGACGAAACTTAAATTATAAAATAAACGTTTGAGTCCATCTTCAAAGAAATTAAAAAAGTAATAATAAAGTTAAAATCGAAATCCGTTAGTTACCAAGAAAATCGAATAGTTTTCGAGAATTAATCTCAATGCTTACATAAAGCATCAAGTGATTTATTCACTTTAATTATTATTGTTGTACGTAACGTAACGTGACGTGAAACCATCGTAAATCACTTAATAGTGTTTTGACTACAATATTCGTTTTAATTAGTTGCGTATTTTTTTTTATTACACTCTAACTCTTTCTACACAAATTAAATATCTTTAGATCTACGCATGTTTGTTTTTTTTCTTTAATTTTTTTTAATGAAAATTATTACATTAAAATTACTGATTTACGTTTACGAACGCTCGACACACAATTCTCGTCACCAAGTTGTTGCTTTTTTTTACACGTATCAAAACTAAGTTATAATTAGCAATAATTTAAATTAATTACAACATAAATTTCCGACCGTTCAAATCCATCATATTTAATTCCGTAAAAAACTTGTAATAATTCATATTTTTCTTTAGATATATCAAGAAAAAAAACTTATTTTTTTTTGTATCAGATTACGTTTTATACTTATACCATTAATTATTTTAATTAATTTAATGTCCTTTTTTTCGGTTGCTTTTTTTTGTTAACCAGATTTATGACTTTTCTGTATACGTTAATATTTGTAAAATAGTGTTTTTCGACATGTGGTCCATTTTCTACCGGTTCTATAACAATAATGGAAAGACATTACTAATTTTAAGCTTAAATTTATCTAATAAATATTACTTAAAATAATTTCTCACAATTTGTGTTATATCATGATGTAATATAATCCAACCTAACCTAGTATAACCAATTCTAACCTAACTTATTCTGCTGCCATTTTGTATATGACATGATGTCAAAAAATGTCTTATTTTAAGGTTAGCTTGTGCTATAAATGTCAATTGACAATATTAAAATTTCATTTGATCATTACGAATTTTCAATAATTCTTGTTATAACTATAACAATATTCTATAACTATAACAATAATGGAAAGACAATACTAATTTTAAACTTAAATTTATCTAATAAATATTACTTAAAATAATGTCTCACAATTTGTGTTATATCATGATGTAATATAATCCAACCTAACCTAGTATAACCAATTCTAACCTTACTTATTCTGCTGTCATTTTGTATATGACATGATGTCAATAAATGTCTTATTTTAAGGTTAGCTTGTGCTATAAATGTCAATTGACAATATTAAAATCTCATTTGATCATTACGAATTTTGCAATAATTCTTGTTATAACTATAACAATATTCTATAACTATAACAATAATGGAAAGACATTATTAATTTTAAACTTAAATTTATCTAATATATATTACTTAAAATAATGTCTCACAATTTGCGTTATATCATGATATAATATAATCCAATCTAACCTTACTAATTCTGCTGTCATTTTGTATATGATGTCAATAAATGTCTTATTTTAAGGTTAGCTTGTGCTACAAATGTCAATTGACAATATTAAAATTTCATTTGATCATTACGAATTTTCAATAATTCTTGTTATAACTATAACAATATTCTACATCTATAACAATAATGGAAAGACATTACTAATTTTAAACTTAAATTTATCTAATAAATATTACTTAAAATAATTTCTCACAATTTGTGTTAATCCAACCTAACCTAGTATAACCAATTCTAACCTTACTTATTCTGCTGTCATTTTGTAAATGACATGATGTCAATAAATGTCTTATTTTAAGGTTAGCTTGTACTATAAATTTCATTTAATCATTACGCATTTTGCAATAATTTTACTTAAAATTAATAAATTATTAATGTATTTTTAGCATAATCTCAATGTGGTCATTTGATATTTTCATCGCACGCTGAGAAGATACAAAGTGCATTCTGTGGAACCGTGCAGGATGGATACGTGAAGTACGTGAAGTTATTCGAACAGTGGTGAGACTGTTTTTTCGTTCGTTCGAGTTGGTGTGGATGTGAAATTTTGTGGTATCGATTGGAAATGATTGAAATAATTGGAATCGCGGCTGCTGCTTCGGAAAGGAAGAACAAAAGCGAATGGAAAAAAAAAGCAACAACAGCATCAAAAAAAAAAGAAGTGCCGTCGACGGTCTCCTTCGAAGATTCTCACGGTTTTCAGAGCTTTTTGTGGTTTCGCGGAGCGGCACCGAAAGCCGATTAAAAGAAGTTATAACGCCAAAGAATGGCCAATAATAAACGGGGAGAAGATCGAATGTATACGTATATTTTATATATAGTTGTATATATATATATTATGTGTATATATATATAGATGGAATTCAGTGGAGCGTCACTATGGAGACCATCGAAGAGGGTTCCGGTCAGACCGCTACGTGCGTGGTGGATGGATGGATGGAAGTTGGAAGTTTTTCAATTGAAGCAGGGCCGGCTTCCATCCATTCCGTTCTGTTTTGTTTCAGTTGCTGTTGTTTTTTTTGCTTCTTTGCTCTTTTGTTTTTCTTTTGGTTTTGTTCTTTTTTTAATTAGCTCCGGCAACAGGTTTCTAAAATATAGAATGGCTTTGGGCAGCCTTGGGGCTCTCCTCCGTTCAAATGGTGCACAAGTATACGTATGTATACGTTTATATATGTATGTATATATATATATAAATATAAAAACGGTCGAGAGAGTTTAATCGAGGCTCTCTCGCATACTAATTATAGAAGCATGCAGGCAGGCTCCTTCTTATACAATGGCCGGTGCACGCGATGTCCAGAACCCTGGCATTAGAGCCAGTATGTTATTATGGGGGCCTGCGGGCGCGTGCCGGCTACCGATCTATACCCCCCTTTTCGAACCCTCCTCCACCGCCATCCTCATCTTCAACCTCTGCATCATAGTCCTCCTCCTCCTCTTCTTCCATAGACTTCTTTCCTCGCCCACCACCTCAAACAGCAAGCGAACGATGCAGAGAAGAAATATTTTTCAACTTTGACATCCACCTCTTTCGATCCACTTTGAAGAAGAAACGTGGAGATAATCTCGTCTTCCATCTGTGCCGATTTCGTTACATAAATCTATCCAAAAGACGTCTCAATAAGTAAAAAAACAGTCTTCATTCTCCTTTTAATAATCCTATCCATTCCTCGCCTACCACTTCAAACAGTAAGCAACCGATGCAGAGAACACATATTTTTCAACTTTGACATCCACATACTTCGATCTACTTTGTAACAAAAACGTTTTCCATCTATGCCTATTTCATTTCATAATTTGTCTTCGTCCTCCTCTTCATAATCGTCTCTTTTCTTTGCCTACTCCATCAAACATAAAGTAAATTTTTTGTAACTTTGACATCCACCTCCTTCGATCCACTTTGAAGCAGAGAATCCCGTCTTCCATCTGTGCCGATTTCGTTACATAAATCTATCCAAAAGACGTCTCAATAAGTAAAAAAAACATCCTCATCTTAACAGTCTTCATTCTCCTTTTCATAATCCTATCTTTTCCTCGACTACCACTTCAAGCAACCGATGCAGAGAATACATATTTTTCAACTTTGACATCCACATACTTCGATCTACTTTGTAACAAAAACGTTTTCCATCTATGCCTATTTCATTTCATAATTTGTCTTCATCCTCCTCTTCATAATCGTCTCTTTTCTTTACCTACTCCACCAATCATAAAAGAAATATTTTGTAACTTTGCGTCCACCTCCTTAGATCTACATGAATTTCGATTCTGTTCATTCTTTTCTTCTTTACTTAAAGACGTCTAAAGACTTCTTTCCTCGCCCACCACCTCAAACAGCAAGCGAACGATGCATAGAAGAAATATTTTTCAACTTTGACATCCACCTCTTTCGATCCACTTTGAAGAAGAAACGTGGAGAAATCCTGTCTTCCATCTGTGCCGATTTCGTTACATAAATCTATCCAAAAAACGTCTCAATAAGTAAAAAAAACAGTCTTCATTCTCCTTTTAATAATCCTATCCATTCCTCGACTACCACTTCAAACAGTAAGCAAACGATGCAGAGAACACATATTTTTCTACTTTGACATCCACATACTTCGATCTACTTTGTAACAAAAACGTTTTCCATCTATGCCTATTTCATTTCATAATTTGTCTTCGTCCTCCTCTTCATAATCCTCTCTTTTGCCTATTGCATCAAACAGCAAGTGAACAATACATAGAAGAAATATTTTTCAACTTTGACATCCACCTTCTTCGATCCACTTTGAAGCAGAGAATCCCGTCTTCCATCTGTGCCGATTTCGTTACATAAATCTATCCAAAAGACGTCTCAATAGGTAAAAAAAAACATCCTCATCTTAACAGTCTTCATTCTCTTTTTCATAATCCTATCTATTCCTCGACTACCACTTCAAACAGCAAGCAACCGATGCAGAGAATACATATGTTTCAACTTTGACATCCACATACTTCGATCTACTTTGTAACAAAAACGTTTTCCATCTATGCCTATTTTATTTCATAATTTTTCTTCGTCCTCCTCTTCATATTCCTCTCTTTTATTTGCTTACTAAATCAAGTGAACAATACATAAAAGAAATATTTTTTAACTTTTACATCCAACTCCTTTTAGATCTATTGAAATTCTGAAAGATTTTGACAACCAACATCTCTGATCTACTTTGAAGCAGGAACGTGTCTTCTACAAGCATGAATTTCGATTCAGCTCATTCTTTTCTTCCTTACTTAAAGACGTCTAAAAAAAAAAAGAAGAAAAAAAAAACCTTCCGGCCAAACGCACGAAATACTTTCAAGGATGTTCCCATATTGGTTGCAGATTATGCAAATCGACGAGAATGCTAATGCAGGCGCATAAACACCGTCCAAAATATGTTTCCATCGATAAACACACAGATTATACCACTAAACCGAACTCAAGATCAATTTTTATAATCCAAAATCGTGACGTACATAATCAATTATTCTTCAATATAAGATTAATTGTAATTTCAAAGCATTTAAGTTTCATGTTAAAAATATTTTTGAAATTAATTGATTATTATTCTGAAATAATTGATAGTTTACTCAGCAAAAAGTGAGAGTATTAATTTTAATGGTAATTGCAAATGCAAATGAACTGAAACGATCTGCTGAAAAGTTTATGAATTATGCATGAAAGTGATGTTTCTTTTTTGCTGTTTCTGAAAAAATGCGTCGTGTCCGCTGGTTAAGTCGACCGTAATTGTGATGTTTGCTAAAGCGGGTCTACAATTACAGGTATTTGGGCTATTAAATGTAATCTGCGTAAAGCAAGAAAACGACGAGGAGATGGACTCTCTCATTTATATATTTATATGTATATATAGTAGTTATCCGCTTGGAAATGCGTGTTGTTGGCGCGGAAGAAGATATCGTGAAGAGAAGAATGGTAACATGAAATGCAATGCAATGCACTTCGTTTTGCAGCAGCAGCAGCTCTTTATGTATACGTCTGGATGTGTATGTATATAGTATATATATATATAGTGTACATAGAAAATGGTATAGAGAAGGCGGTTCGTCCTGAAAGGAACCACCGGTCACGTTCATCCTGTGAACGTCACGTATTGGTCTTTACGCGCCACCGGCGTGAATAATACACTTTTATTTCAATGAAGACTTCATACTCCTCTCCTATCTCGATACCCTCTTCACCGGTACATTTATACGCGATCGTGATGCCATTGTATTTGATTGTCCAAGATACGCGATAATATTCCGAGTTATATGGATAAATGTAAATAAATTTACGGCGAAAAATAAACAAAACAAAAAAAAAAGGAACAACTAAAAGAGAGAAAAAAATAACAGCAAGCAAGCAGCGACGTCTCAGCTAAATGGAAATCAGGAGTTTCCGACAGGTGAAAGTCGATTGTTCCCTGCAAACCTGTCGATGGTAAAACGCGCGACTAACAAGGAAAAAACCTATCCAGGCATCTCGAAAGAAAGATGACATAAATCGAGAGAAAGACGACGAGATAACAAGAGAAAGAAAGAGAGATAACGCCTTTTGTTGTTTAATATGAATTTATCGCGATATTTAAATGGATTTTCCCTTCTCGTATAAATGGAAACGCGCAGGCAGCAACTTTCTCGTTTTCCCTCCGAAAACCCATAAAGATGCTTTTGGTATGGGGCCGCATTCCTCCCCGTGACAGTTTCTTCTAATTATCACGCGTTTCCTGTTCTGTCCGATTGGTTTCCCCTTTTGCTGGAACGACGTTGCTTATTTGTTCGTGTTGTTGCTGTTACCTCAATGGTCAATGAAAGCCAACCTCTGAAAAGTCTCTCCATCCCAACCAGAAACATTCTACTTCGCGTATTTTTCGTTCCGTAAGACTTAAAGACACGATCCATTTGCAGATGCGCTGCTTTTACCAAGTAGATCAGAACAAATGGCATTTTCGTTCGTGTTATTACACGAAGAGGTGTGCATGGAAAGCGCGCATTAGTTTGTTTTTGATCGTCAATTAGACGTTCTGCAAGAGATGTTTTCACAACAACGTCACACTCTAATAAAATCATAAAACGACTCATTGTTTCGTTGTATCTCTTTCAGTTTTCCATACAACATGATTGATGCGTTTTGCAACAAAACTCAACGAAATACAGTAGAAATTAATTAAATAAGCATTTTCTCAAAAGATTTTTTTTCATTTATATTAATTTACTTCCATTTCCACTTAATAAAAGAAATTGTTTTATTCAGTATTTCATGTGGATGTAATTGATTGTAAAAAATGATTTTACAAGTATTTCTTGATAAAATGAAATAAATATGGAATTATCTGCAATAATCTCTAGGTTTGCGGGATTCGTATTGCTATGATTAATATTAGATGAAATGTGGATACAAAACTTGTATTGAATTATTTACAGATTTGCAAAGTTATGATTAATATTTAATTAATGTATAGACGTAGAATAAAATCATAAAACGACTCATTGTTTCGTTGTATCTCTTTCAGTTTTCCATACAACATGATTCATGCGTTTTGCAACAAAACTCAAGCAAGCATCCAATAAAATACAGTAGAAATTTATTAAATAAGCATTTTCTCAAAAGATTTTTTTCATTTATACTAATTTACTTTCATTTCCACTTAATAAAAGAAATTGTTTTATTCAGTATTTCATGTGGATGTAATTGATTGTAAAAAATGAATTTACAAGTATTTCTTGATAAAATGAAATAAATATGGAATTATCTGCAATAATCTCTAGGTTTGCATGATTCGTATTGTTATGATTAATATTAGATGAAATGTGGATACAAAAATTTGTATTGAATTATTTACAGATTTGTAAAGTTATGATTAATATTTAATTAATGTATAGACGT